TGTTGTAAAAACACTGGTAATTTAGATTTTATATTAATTTTTAGGTATTCATGCCCAAGTGCTGATTTTTGCTAATATGTGTCTATTTGTTGAATGGAATGAAACTATCATGTGATGCAGGAGAACAAAATTAGCAGGATAGAATGGAAACAGGTACAAAGTTTGAACGACATTCACCATTACTAATGCAATTGGTTTTTTTTTGGTTGTCTAATGTCTTGAGGTTGTGTTGATGTGTGCAGAATGAGATAAATTTTGGCCTGGGAAATTTGGTTGGTTTTGCGATGAATTTGGAGAATGAGAGAGCCACAGAACAGATCGAGGCATGATTATCATTTTCCTCATTACTAATGTTTTCATTTATTTATTTATTGTGCCGTGTCATCATAACATGTTATATGATGATTCCACAGGCATCTGCATCAAGTTCAACAAGGCCTGCTCTTGAAATGCCAGAAGGGACTCTAACAGTGGTAATTTTTGGAACTATCAACCTTTGTGTTAGAACTTAGATATAGCAGTGTTTGCCATTGCTTCTACAGATTACCGGTCCCTTGAAGGTGATTGCAGAACACCCCTTAGAGCCTTGGCGCTCACATATATATTGTTCCATATTCATTGCAGGTCGAGTCCTTGCCTCGCAGTGCATTAGCTGATCCACCATCTCCATCGGGTTCAAATGGACCTCAGAAGGTTAGTCAATGATATCTGCTCTTAGGGATGGGTTAACCTTTGGTGCTAAATCAAGTAAAATAGTTTCTCTAGAGGAAGGGGGAGGAATGCCAAAGATCGATTTGTATGCACTTTGAACATACAAATTCATTTTGTATTGGGAATGAGGAACCTCACAATCTATGTTCAACAACAAATTTCCGATTAGACCTGTCTAGGTGTTAGACCCCCTTTGGCTGTCTCCCTGACCCCACACAGCCCATGCGTAGGCAGAGTAGGTTCTACTTGCTAGGCCCGTTCCGTTCAACTTTTTTTAAAGCTTATAACTTATTTTTATTAAAATCAGACCAGACCAGATCAGATTAGAAACAACTTTTAACATAACTACAATCAAATCAAATGAGACCAGATCAGACTAGATCTTCAAAAAATCAGATTAGGTGAACGGAACGCAACCACAGTCATACAGGGGCTATCGACAATTTCTGATGTGGTTACTTTAACTAGTGCTAAAATTATCTTGATTCCCTCCGCAGAGTCTTTTTTTTCTTCTTAAGTTCTGAATATTTGTTGACAAAATTAGCCCTATTAAACTGCAGGAGTCCCTGCATGCAGTTCTGTCATCATCTGGTGTAAAGGTAGAGAACATAACAACACTTCAAAAGAGTTCAAAATATCCTACTAGGACTACTAGTTCAGCCCCTATAACAAAACACATTTCTTTTACAGATCCGTCGCGGACTATCAGATGTGGTCGGATTAGCAAGTGACATCAGCAATAGTCCTACGGTAGGACACGGCGGCCTTTCCACTCCTCCACCCTTGGAGTCAAAGGCCCCAAATTCAAGTCTTGGTGTATTTGGGCGAACACTCTCTGCTAGTGCTGCCGCTTTATTTACAAGAAGCCGCGCTCTGTAACAGACGGTCCCGTGTTATTTGCTGCCTTGGAGCTGTTTTTGGTCTTGATTTTGTAGTGCCCCAAAATATGTATTTGTATGGGTTAATTTAGAACTCCAGTCTAAATGTCTCTGTCTACCTACCCTTGTGTTGACACTATATTTACACACTAATATATGAACCAAGGTTGGATACTAGAATTTCCTACATTTATAAAAGGTTAATTACGCTTTTAGCCCTTTAATTTGTTTTTCTTTGTTTTGAAAATTTCTTTTGTGCATTACTCCTAGTTTGTGAACCAGATATGGAGTATTAATTTTTACAGACAAAACTTGTTTGCTTGTTGGCCATGTACACTTTAGTCCTAACCCATGTACATGGGACATAATTGTTTGGATTTTAGTCTTATTGTACACACAAAATTTGTATAAATAGATTTTGTACATAGTACATTCATTGATAAATTCTAATTCTATAGACAATTTGTCTATGCAAGCAGATTTTGTCTATGGATTTGTTATATGAATTAAGCTAGGGGTACACCAACATGGGGTACCCCAAATGTACACCAAGCCAACACAGACACACACAGACACAAAGTGTCTGTGTTGCACAGACATTTTGTGTGTGTGTGTCTGTGTTGGCTTGGTGTACATTTGGAGTATCCCATGTTGGTGTACCCCTAGCATTGCCCTTGTTATATACATATTTTCTATGAATTTACTTTCTGGTGTACAACTTGAAATGCACCGTGTACACCTTGAAGTACACCGTGTAAGGTGCTAATACGTCGCATATATTTTCTACCACCGTTGTCCTTGAGTAATTGTCCAGTTTTGATTTTTTTGTCAATTGTTTTCAACTTTTGACCTATAATTAAATAAAATATATATTGTATATTAATTAGATAAGATAATATTTTAAAAATATTGTATATAATAAATTTTATAAAATTATTTTTCTATGAATATCTAATGTTATTTTTAATTAATTTGAGATCAAAATTTACCAATTTTGACCAAAAAAAGTCAAAAGTCGACAAACTCAGGCATCAAGGGAGTATTTGGGATATGTTCTTTTCGACCCCATATTTAGTTTTAAGCGCAATTTTTTATTAATTCAATTCAACACTTTTTAAGTAATGTTTACACCTTATGAGCGATTCATAACATTTATATTTTCTAAATAATTCTAAAAAAAGAAATTCAAATAGTGAATTTAACCACAGAACAATAAAAGAACAATTCATGCATCCTAGTCAAGTGGAAAATATTTTGATACTCAGTATTTTTCATCAAATAAATATAAAGTAAGTTCTTAAAATAATTCTTTCTAATCAAGGGTTTTCCAAAATGGTCAATTCTAATTAAGAGAGTTGTATCCTGTTTGAATTTTAAACAACTTTGACATAGTTTTAAAAATGTATAGATTATGTAAAGTCAATGAATCATTTTATATCTGTATGGAGTTGTATAGATTTTAATACATTTTTTAGTATTCCGTATCAAGATATATTTAGATTCTTAGATTTCATAGATTATTTTAACATAATTATTTTTTTTTTTTTTGAATAAATTCTCATATCACTAATTGATTAGAAACAAACTAAAATGACCAAGGGTATTGCTATATCCGCACAAATTTTGATTATATCCATCCACCATTAATGTTAAACAAACATTTTTACCCTCAAAAATACAAAAGAGTGAACTTTGTTGCTAGGTCAGTTTAAGGGTAAATTTATTGATTTAATACAAAGAGAGTGAATATATCCAAAATGGGAGTAGATATAACACCCAATAATCAATCTGACTTGTTTGTGGAAACCCCCTAACCTCTTCATATGGCTAGTTTAGGATGAACCATGGGTCATTTGCTTACACTTTTACTTTGCATTTGTCATTTGTTGTCAATTCTTATTACTATAATGTTGAATATTGTTAAAAAAATATTTAATTTCATTACGACACAACATTTTCACCGTCTCGTGCTGGGCCTCTGATTCTTATTGGAGAAGGTGTACACCATCTACTTCTCCACCACACATTTTTATTTTATTTTTATTTATTTATTTTTTTTTGAATTTATTGCCTTTTTTGTGTGGACAAGGAGGGGGTGGGGGACAAATGGGGTACACATTTTGTGTACCCCTAGCATTTTTCTTTCACGACTGGACGGTTATGTTGATTTTCATTCAGGGCAATATAGTATTTTGAATACTAATTTAGTCTCACGCGCGAATTAAATCATATTTACATAAAGTACTGTTTTAGTCTTACCTACGTATTTTTGGTGATTGAAGGCGTCTGGGCCATGATGATTACGATCGACGTTGGTCGAGAAAAGAGGATGAGAGAGCTGTGAATGGATCGTAAAGGAGAAGAGAGCCCTTTAGTGCTCTGATACCATATGAGGAAATAATCAATCAATTATTATTAACAAAAGAGCAGTTACTCCGTACAATTTATAAGAGCTTCGGGGTAATAAAATACGGAGTATTATAAAAATATGAGTTTAATTATGTTAAAGTTACACCAAATAAATATGATATAAACTTACTAAAACATAACAAATGAAAATGTATAATTAATTTATTAATTTAATATTTTAATGGTAACATTTCAGTTTGGTATATTCGATATTTATTTTATGGAAACTCATCCCATACTATTTTGAAAACGATTCAGTTCGATTCAAGATATTATTTGCTAGAATTATTTCAAAATCTACTTTTCAATTCGGTACAATGTCGGACCGGTATTTTTGCTCACCCCTAAAAAATAGCCTAATATGAAGTATAATTTTATGAGACTCAAAAACTTCTCACCAACAAAATATGGATTGTATAGTCAACTAAACTCTGGTTTTTCGTTAGTCATAATTCATACGGAGTAAATACTCAGTGGAAACTTGAGCCCCAAGTAATTTTATTATTATTATTATTATTATTATTTTTGCATTATGTTTGGTAATATTTGGCATTATTATGAATTCGATCTTAATGTAAAAATATTAAAGATCTTATTTTGATATATGAAGCATATTATAATTCTAGTCAGGTTTTCTCCCTTTGATTTATTTAGCTATTTCACTTTCATTTTCTTGGTCAAAATTCACGAACTTGACTTGAATTTGATTGGTGAAATGTACTCGGTATTATATTTTGTTATAATGTAAATTAAATACCATCAACTTCATTTATAATACTCCGTAAGTATATAATACTCCGTATTTAACTATTTATAAATGTAACTATTTACTGGCACAAAATTGAAAACAAAGCAAGTACTCCGTAACAAAAAATAAATTGGAACATATATAGAGCTAATTAATATAACAATTATATATATATATATATATATATATATATATATATATATATATATATATATATATATATATATCAGTTTATTTCCTAAATCGTAACAGTACGTGCAGTTCAAGGATAATGAATTCCTTTCTTCTCTTCTCCGAGTCCCATGAGGAGTCCTATACACATATTTGGAAGTCCTCTCGATCTCTTGTAATTATTATTATCATCGAATTAAAAAAGCAAAAAGAGAAATAATTTGCGTGCAATAATAATAATAATAATATAATGGAGGATTCATCATGGGAAGGCAATTTGTATGTGAGCAACGAGCTGTTGTACGAGATTATGGTTAGGTCTTCTTTGACAACGATGGACAAGTGCAAGGCCGTGAGCAAGGAGGTGAGGGACCTGATCCACGACACGTGGTTCGTCCGGAACTACTACCGCACCACGAAGAACATCCTCGGCTACTTCGTGCAGACGATCCAAAACCATTCCTCAGTCTCCACCTTCGTGTCCGTTGACGACGACGATGACGACGAGTCGCCTCTGAGGGCCCCACGCGTATCCATGTCGTCTTTTGTCAAAGACGACATGAAGATACTGGCGTCGTCCAGCCAGGGGCTTCTGTGCTGCAGGAGGTACGAGAGCGGGACCTACCGTTATTACATCTGCAAGCCGAGCACGGGGCAGATTGTGCTTCTCCCTAGCCCTATGAAGAGGCTAGGGAGCTTCCACGAACACGTCAGTTTGGTTGTCGTGAAATCCAACCCCCTTCACTACCGAATCATCCGATACTATCCTGATCGCCATTTATCGTAAGTTCATTTACTCTCTCCATTCCACAATTCCTGTTTAATATCGGTTTATCAAATACATTATACTTTGAATGAATGTAGACATAGTTACGTCTACATTCATTCAAAATCTAATGCACCTAATAATCCTTAATCGACAGTTATTCAAAATCTAATGTTAAAAGTATTTAATTTTCAGGCCATCTAGATACGATAGCTACGTGTGCGAAATTTTTGACTCGAAGATATGGACGTGGAGGCCAGCAGAAAATCTTGTGACGGAATACAACACGATCTTTGAAAACCAGCCGTCGGTTTGCATAGGCGAGGCTGCCTATTTGCTGACGAACAAAGACACGGTCGTGGCCTTCGACTCGTCGCGGGAGACCCACGCAGAGTTCGGCATACCAGAACCGGCACGCGGCGAAGGCAACGGGTGCAGCGTGAGGCAAATCGTGGAGCACAATGGGAAGCTGGGGCTGACTTCACGGGAGCGAAACTCGGACAGGCTGTTCCTGTGGGTGTTGGAGGATGGGAAGAGGTGCAGGTGGAGGGAGGAGAGGGAGGTAGAGATTCATGAGGATGAGGGCAGGTTGGTGGGGTGTGGGCTTGCTGACACGGCGTTGATGGTCGGGTACGAGCTTCAAGTTTACAGGCAGAGCGGCTTTTGTTATCCTTTTAAACCTATTACCGCTATCTTCCCCTTCCGGTCGGATTGGGAGGCTGTGAATCTTGAAGGAGAGGAGGGATGCATGCTGAGCTCTTTGGAAGAGATGATGATGTGCTAATCCAGCTCCATGTTCTTCATGTGAAAGCTCTGTCTAAGTGAATGTTTTAACACCCTAGCACAATGTACTACTAGTAGCCAATTCTCCTGCTCAAAAGACTAGTTTCTGGTGTTTTTTTTTAAGAATCTGTGATTGGTTGATTTGACAAGTGATCCAAAGTCTTTATTCACACACTTGAAAGTTTGTTTGTACACACTATCTGTTCTGCTTTACTACATGTCACTGCAATATATGTAATCCTTGTGGAACTTATAATACAACTCAGAAATTTTGAAGTTTTTGAGCAACAATACCACTAATCTCCTTGCCAAACACCCCAATGCTTTACTCCATTGAGATGTAATGTACTACATCCGACCTACTGTATTTGTCTAGTTTGACGTTTTCGAGTATAACTGGACAAGCTTTGAGCTTCAACTACTCTAATTTCGTATTGCATGTTAGTACAATGAAATAAAACTTTGGAAGTTCTGAATCTAATAAAATCATTTTTATACTAATATACATTATAATTTTTGTTTATGTAAAGCTCAAAGTTAATCCTGTTTGACTCGAAAAAGTCAAACGAGACAAATACGCTGGGACCGAGGAATTAAATGCTAAATGTTCATGGGGAATCTTTGGCTGAGTGAATGTAAAACCCTAGTCCAGTGGCCAGTACCAAACCATTAACATCTTGTGTAGTAGTACGTATTAAGTAGCCTATGAGGGATTTGAACCCACATCTCATTTGTGTTAAGCCACAAATGCTCTACCGCTTGAGCTAATAGGCTTTGCAAAATGGCAATAAAGTTCAACTTATTCATTGACAAAATAGAAATGACAGGTAACAGAAACCCTAAATCAGAGGAAATTGATCAATGCATATAAATGATTAATAAGCCTCTGTTTTTATTTTGTCAAATATTGGGATGAAACAATTCCAAGCACAGAGCATATCTCCACACAAATCAAACAAAGTGATGAGCAAATATATCTTAAGGCTCCGTTTGGTACCCGGAATTCAGACCAAGCAATTGGAATTAGGGACAATAGTTCCAATTCTGCTGCTGTTTGGTAGCACAAAAATATATGAATTTGGAATTGGTAGTGCCAAAAATGAATTGGAATTGGAGGATTCAATTCCACCCAAATCAATTCCATAGAATTTCAATTTCCAATTCAATTCTAATTCCTTCAATTCCGTGTACCAAACGGACCCTAATTGAATTCCAAAAACACAAACAATACCAACTGATTGATGAGAAAATATATCTTAATTGAATTCCAATGACGCAAATCATACGAACTTTATGAGCAAACAAATCGTAATTGAATCCCAAAAACCCAAACTGTACGAATTGACGAGCAAAATTACATACCTAGGGATGAAGACGCACTGCGCTTCTCTGCGGCTAGATCTCCGGGGATTGAACGTGGTTGCTGTAAGTGTGAACGGCTTCAAGAAGGCAATGAGAGAGATGGCGGCCGGCGGAAAAGCTGCCGGAATCGCTGGGGGAGAGGCGGAGCGGACGTTTCCCTGCGGAACGGAGCGCCGGAGCGGACGTCGGGTTCCGTTTGGAAATGGCCTTTATGCTGACTAGACCCGATCAGGTGTCCCGCCCTACTCTATATAACCTTACTCCAACTTACTCCTAGTCATTTTTTCTAGAATTGCTCTATAATAAACGCCGGTGAGACGTAGCTAGGGATATTTTAAATTCGATTCGTAATTCGTATTCGAATATGATGATTCGAATTCGCGTTATTCAAATACAAATTCAAATTTAAATATTAGTTTTGATTTGAATATTAAACAAATACAAATACAAATAGAGGTGTATTCGATTCGGATGATATTCGAATATTCGAATATATTTATATACACAAACCATGTTTTCAACATCAGTAATCAAACAAACTAGTATAATATAAATTGCATTTAAATTACTAAGATTTCATTATATTAACGTAATACAAAAAATTAAAGCATGCAATTTTTAATAGTTACTGTATATTTTATAAAATATAATTTGTGTAAGACAAAAATATATTAATATTTTTAGATATGGTATAAGAAATATTGTAAGTTAAATTATTCAAAATCGACATATAAATTACGGACTATGATTATTCAAATATTCGTTTAGGATTCGTTAACTATTCGAATATTAATCAAATACAAATACAAATCTTATTTTTAGTTCATTTTATATTCGTATTCGGATTCGTATTCGAAAAAATTAATCAAATACAAATTCAAATATTATGATATTCGCTTCGATTCGATTCGTTTACAACCCTAGACGTAGCTCAGCGGTTGGTATACAAGTGCTATAAGAAAAAGATCCCGAATTCGAAGTCCCGTGCCTGCGATGAGAGGCAACATGCAAAATATGGGGGCTTATGTCACTATCAGGCTCGAGATCTTACCTTTATGCCAATTGACTGAGATCATAGCTCAATTTACTTCCTCTCAATTAATTGTCTGACCGGTGTTGAGGGGCACTCAGAGATGGGATATCATCCTTTTTTATACTCCATCCGTCCTAATTCTTTCTTCCCACGTTGACTATATGCCATTTTTAAGGAAGTGTAAAATATGCATTGACTTTACCAAAGTGCCCCTAAAGTCTCCTACTTCACCCAAGTAGGTTGCAAGGAATCGGAGTTTGTTTTCCACCTCACGCGCCGGATTCGTTACGGGTGCAGATTCGCCGGCGGGGACGGCGTCCGGCGAACCGGAAACGGATCTGGAGCTGCAGATTTGTCGGCTTCTTGCCATGACATGGATCCGAAAAGCTTAGCTGAATTGGGTACGGATCTGGAGCCCTTTTAATTTTTTTTAAAGAAATACGACTTCCCCACTCGCCGGTTTGGTTCTCCCGCTGCCAATCCGTCAACTGCACAGCACCGCTTTAAGCATCGGAGAAGCATCCACCGCCCACTGCACAACCGCCAACGAGAAGCATCGGAGACATACTTGGCGCTGCTGACCAATTTTCACAACTATTAGCGAGTGAAGAGGAGAATTAGATCTAGGATTTGGGGGGGAAGAGAGACAGAGAGGGAAGATTGAGAGATGAGAGACGGAGGATGGTTGAGGCGTTGGGGAGTATATGATGTAAGGGTATAATAGTCACTTTACACCCTTTTTTTGAAAGTGGGAAGGTAGTTTTAAGACGGGAAAAAAGGGAAGTGAGAAGATAGTTTTAGGACGGAGGGAGTATATTTTCATAAACAGTGATACATAAGGAAGAGTCAATCCCATCTTGTAAAAGTAAAATCAATCTCATCTTGTATTAGATAAAGTACAGTCACATGCTAAATAATTAAGATCTAATCTTAATATTGTTTCATGTTTCTTAGCTAAGACTATGTAGTACACTGAAGTGGAGTGATTATACAACTACTTTTAAATGCCATTGTTGGTCATTGGTCTATACTATTTGCGTAATGATGATGTAATGCCATTGTTGGTCATTAGTCAAAAATGGTATGAGGTTTCTAGTCACTAACCAAACAAATTTTAGCTTCATAGTGGATAAAAAAACTTCTTTGGTGCATATAACTTGCAAGTGGGTGAAGCACTTGAATTGTTTGCCACTTAGTGAGCAAACATGAAGTATGATATCAAATTTACAAAAAAGGAAACTCAAATCATCAGCTAACTGTAATTTGGTGGGGAAGCTAGTAATGTCAAAAAATTAAAAGTTCAATGCTCCTAAATTTATATTAGCTAGTGGACACTATTATCTAACGGTCGTGGCCTTCGACTCGTCGCGGGAGATCCACGCAGAGTTCGGCATACCGGAACCGGAACGCGCCGAAGGCAACGGGTACAACGTGAGGCAAATCGTGGAGTACAAGGGGAAGCTGTGGCTGACTTCGCGGGAGCGAAGCTCGGGCAGGCTGTTCCTGTGGGTGTTGGAGGATGGGAAGAGGTGCAGGTGGAGGGAGGAGAGGGAGGTGGAGATTGAGGATGAGGGCAGGTTGGTGGGGTGTGGGCTTGCTGACACGGCGTTGATGGTCGGGTACGAGCTTCAAGTTTACAGACAGAGCGGCTTTTGTTATCCTTTTAAACCTATTACCGCTATCTTCCCCTTCCGGTCGGATTGGGAGGCTGTGAATCTTGAAGGAGAGGAGGGATGCATGCTGAGCTCTTTGGAAGAGATGATGATGTGCTTATCCAGCTCCATGTTCTTCATGTGAAAGCTCTGTCTAAGTGAATGTACTAACACCCTAGCACAATGTACTACTAGTAGCCAATTCTCCTGCTCAAAAGACTAGTTTCTGGTGTGTTTTTTAAGAATCTGTGATTGGTTGATTTGTTAAGTGATCCAAAGTCTTCATTCACAAACTTGAAAGTTTGTTTGTACACACTATCTGTTCTGCTTTACTACATGTCACTGCAGTATATGTAATCCTTGTGGAACTTATAATACAACTCAGAAATTTTGAAGTTTATGTGCAACAATATATACCACTATTCTCCTTGCCAAACACCCCAATGCTTTACTCCATTGAGAAGTAGTGTATTACATTCGACCTAGTGTATTTGTCTAGTTTGACTTTTCCAAGTCAAACTGGACAAGCTTTGAGCTTCAACTAGTCTAAGTTCGTATTGCATGTTAGTACAATGAAATAAAACTTTGAAAGTTCTCAACAAGGTAAATCTAATAAAATCATTTTTATACTAACATGCATTATAATTTTTGTTTATGTAAAGCTCAAAGTTAATCCTGTTTGACTCGAAAAAGTCAAACGAGACAAATACGCTGGGACCGAGGGATTAAATGCTAAATGTTCATGGGAAATCTTTGGCTGAGTGAATGTAAAACCCTAGTCCCAGTACAAAACCATTAACATCTTGTGTAGTGGTACGTATTAAGTAGCCTATGAGGGATTTGAACCCGCATCTTATTTGTGTTAAGCCACAAATGCTCTACCGGTTGAGCTAATAGGCTTTGCAAAATGGCAATAAAGTTCAACTTATTCATTGACAAAACAGAAATGGTAGGTAACAGAAATCCTGAATCAGACGAAATTGATCAATGCATATAAGTAATTAATAACTAATAAGCCTCTGTTTTTATTTTGTCAAATATTGGGATGAAACAATTCCAAGCACAGAGCATATCTCCACACACATCAAACGAAGTGATGAGCAAATATATCTTAAGACTCCGTTTGGGACACGGAATTCAAATCATGCAATTGGAATTAGGGACAATAGTTCCAATTCTGTTGTTTGGTAGCACAAAAAT